TCCATTTGTTCTGCGTCATCTCCAGACCTATCTCCCTTATTCTCCGCATTTTTTCGATCACAATCTCTGCTCGCATGGTGGCCACTAGCCCTATTTCCCCACCAGCCACAATCAAAGTATCGTCCGCGTAATAGACAAGCTGCAGACGACGGGAAGGGCGATGCGGAGAATTATATGCGAGGTTCCACAGCAACGGTCCGAAGACCGATCCCTGTGGAACCCAGCACGTCAAAGTTTGGTCGGCCAAGCCGATCTGTGTATTCCACGGTCCTGTCCCGAAAATAGTCCCACATCTCCATCAGGTACATGGGAAAGCCATGATATTCTATGGCTCTTCCTAGTCTCTAGGGGACGGAATTGAAGACGTTCACTAAATCTAGTAAAATGGCCATTCCGCTCTCCTCGATGTGTTGATCTAAGAGGGAAAGAATCCGGAAGATACTCCCACTGGATCATGGATGGTATCCCACCGGATCATTGATGGCCCCACCGGAAGTCATATTAGTCGTCACACAAGTTGGGACTAATCCGGGACAAATGGCGAGTGATCCGGGCAGCTATGATTCTCTGGAAAAGCTTGTTCAGTTCATCTAGCAAGCAGATCGAGGAAAAATCTTCAGGTTTCTCCTCCTTTTGCAAGAGGACAAGCGCTGCCTTTTTCCATTCGGAGGAAAACCTGCCAATCCTGAGACAGCTCGTAAATAGGATCCTGATCCGGGGAGCGAACTTCTTCATGGCCAGAATCCAGACTCTACCGAGGACATTGGACTGGCTCTCCGAAACTTCTGGCAGCTGCTTGTAGTTCGGCGGTCGTTAATGGTATACGATAACCTAATCCTAACTCAATCATAGTATATTATTAGATGTACAACTTTGCTTCCGCCGTTTTCCTATAGATGGCTTTTAGCGGTAAGTGGTGGTCGAAATAAATAGATCATAGACGTCATACAATAAACTTGGGCATCTGTCAACATAATCCCATAGAAACATTAGTCGATTTGTGTCTGCATCATAAAGTTATTCTCGATTGAAAATGTCAGTTTACGAGCCAAATTCTCGTCATTTGCGGGAGGTTTTAATTTTTTGCTTCAGTATGAAGAAATCTGCGACTGAGGCTCATCGAATGCTCTCAAATACTTATAGTAAGGCCACTATTAGTGAAAGAACGTGTTGTGAGTGGTTTCAATGCTTCAAGAACGGTGATTTTGACGTCCAAGGTCATGCTCTGTATTTGGTGGGACCAGCTCGGCGTAGTGTATTATGAACTGTTAAAACCGACTGAAACAATCACAGGCGATCGGTATCGAACGCAATTGATGCGTTTGAGGCGAGCATTGAAAGACAAACGGCCGCAATACAACGAGAGACACGATAAAGTGATTTTGCAGCAATGCTCGACTTGCGAAAGTGGTCAAGACATACTTGGAAACGTTGAAACGGGAAGTCCTACCCACCGTATTCTCCAGACATTGCTCCCTCTGACTATCACTTGTTTCGATCAATGGCACACGGCCTGGCTGACCAGCACTTCCGGTCTTATGAAGAAGTAAAAAATTGGATCGATTTGTGGATAGCCTCAAAAGATGACTAGTTTTTTCGACGCGGGATTCGTACCCGAAAGATGAGAGAAAGTAGTGGCCAGCGATGGACAATACTTTGAATTATAAATGTATAACCAGTTTTTTACAATAAAGCCTCGAATTTCGGAAAAAAATGGCGGAAGCAAAATTGTACTCCTAATAGGTTATTATATACTATTAAACTTTTCAAATATTTCTGAGTATTTCTAAAAAAATGTTTCAATTCATCTCCCCCTCCTCCCCCTGCTTGGGACGCGAAGCGACTCCCTTTTTTGTTTTTAAAGCAATGACTTTTTAGAAATATTAAATTTAAAAACACAAATTCACTACTTTACAAACAAATTTACTGCTTTACAAACAAGTTCACATGAGTTTCGACTTTCCACGCCAAGCGACTTTCGCTTCATATTTCTCCTTGTCTTATAATAATAGAAATAAAACATTATTTTTTTCAAATTTTTCTTTATTGTTAAAGCAGATAGAGTAAGAGTTGCTTTGCGTAGAAAGTCATTACGTAAGCAAACTAGAATAACTTTTAATATTGTATAAAAAATCATTTTTCAAATTTTTTTTTGTTGATAACTTTTAAATGAAGGACAAGCACTAAAACTATCTGAAAATCACTCAGGATCATGATTTTCACAATATATGTCAAGGTTATCTGAGCTGGGTTCTCTATTGTCGATATTTACCGTAAAAAGAGTATAATACGATTGAAAAATTAATAACGGAAATATTATAATTTCCTTGTTATAATGCTTCAAATAATAAAAAATCTTGAGAAATTGGGCAAATGAGAATAACGCATGTTGTTGGAGCGTGATCAAATAATACTCTTAATCAGTGTACGTACTGTTAATGTAGCAATTGATTGTATTTCCATAAAAATGAACGTTTCGACTCTTTTTAGAATCATTATTAGTGTTAGTACAGTTCTTCAAAAATATGAAACATTACTCATGCAATATCAGCCATTAAAGAATTGAAAGATCCTAGGTAAAGTGAATTTCGTTGCAATCTTATACAATTCACTTCTGGAACGAATATGAAAAGATACCGTCAAGTGTTAAGATAATAAAGTATTTATAATCTATTTAAAGTTGTCTTGTGTGACACTTCGTGTTGTTAATCTCTGCTCGCTACTTCGCTCTGATTTCACCTTCTTGTTCAATTTCTGCATTCTCTCTTGTGAAAAATGCTGCCTTTACTTATTAGCTTGCTGCACATTTTTCGTTTTATTATAGTCGTTAATGATTATTGCAATCTCAGTTTTTTATTTTCTAATTTATTATGTTTAATGTTTTTGCGAATGCTGGTCGATAAGCGGAAGCATTTTTGTGAGTGACGCGATTTTTCTGAGTTTCATTATTTTATTAGTGCATTTATATTGCGTTAGTTATGTGCTTTTCACTACATTCTTATAATATTTTATCATTGCGTAATAATTTCTATAGTCACGTCATAATTTTATGTTCAAATCTAGCCGTTATATCGTTCGTTCTGCTTCTGCTTTTGATTAAAGGACAGGCACAAATAAATAATTGTTTTGTTAATTTGCTACATGCATTTGTTGTGCGATTCTACGCGTAAACACATTCTCTTACAATTTCGTACTTTAGCATGAGTCAGTCGACGTATACCAAATGTAAACGTTTTATTTCGCATAAGCGCTCTTGTGTTTTTTGTGGCGCTAACAATAATTTGCCCCCATCTGATGATTGCGTTCCTGTTGCAAAGGGAGTCATCGTTGCCTCTGCTTGGAACTGTTGCTGCCTTCTCGGCTGGTTGCGTCTCGCCGCCATTTCTCTTACCTCTATCTGATGAAAATGACGGAATGCGGTGTCATTCTTTTCACAAAAGAACATCATCAAATGAATCTCTCTGATTTAAATGACCTTTTAGTATTCTGTTATTCTATGGATAAAAATAGGAGACATGTATTTTTTACATGTGCTGAATCACATGTTAAGGGGATGAAATTCTCCTTTGAAAAAAATCGATTTTTTTCTTTCAGATTGAATATCGTCGAAATTATGAAAGATAGAGAAAAATGTTTTAAATAAAAATTGAATGGTTGCAAGAGTACTTCATTACTATAATAAAAAAATTTATTTATTTATGCACCTCATCCACATCCATAAATTCCCACATGCACCTCACTCACATTCAAAAATTTTAAAATTTTTATAATTATAAAATTAAAGAGCATTTTACACTGAAAACAACAACCTGTAATAAAGTCATATTCCGCAAATGCATTTTTAAAATATGAATGAAAAACGCCTCTATATACATATTCCATGAGTATTCATCTCTGATACTTGCAGCGCGTTGGCGATCGATGAAAACTCAGCGGAGGTCGAGAATATTCCCTGGACCTACTGTTGATCGCTTTAACGAAATGCGGATGACGGAGTTTTCTCTTTTCGGCTTATTGGGAACGCCCAACTAGAGACAGACCGCGCTCTACTCTTGTTCTCGCCTATTAAGTAGGAACCGAATCGGAAAGCGTATCGGAAACACACAATAGAGGCAAGGTACGCCTTACCTCGCACGTTCTGATACTAGGATTAGGATTGATAGCAGCGTAGCGGATCGGAATACTAGTTACAATAGGATCTGGATAGCATGAGGATTGTTAGGAAAAGCTTCGATAAGAAATATAATCTTTTATAATCATAAAATAATGTTTTTTTCGTCTCGACTTCCTTCGCCCGAGTTCCTCCACGAGTATGTCTTTCAGCACTATTTCATGGATTGGGGGTTCGGCGATATTCGAATTTCATGGTCCAAACACGACTTTTCGTTGCGAGTTGACGTCACCTGCATTTTGTTTGAATTATTATCGGACGCATCGCACATAATGCTGCGGCATCCAGCTTGATGGGAAACCGGGAACGACGCATTATTATATGGCCTTCCGCCATATGTTACGCCACAGTTTCCATCCACGACTTCACTACATCCATTAGAACGATTGCCCTGAGCCATCCAAAATTAGTGCTTGAACCCTTTCAACGACTGCGGGGGTTTTCGCGGTGTGTTCTTTCAAGTGACTCTTCTTCGCTGGCATACTGGAACCATCGTTGGACTTCTAAAGCCGTATATTTTGCCACAACGTCATAAATGGTTAATCTCGGCTATTCAAAGAATTATTTCCGTTGCTGAACGCTCAGCACGAAGGCCTTCAATGATCGCGGCTCTTCGATTATACTCCGCTTGGTTTCAACATCGCGGATCCATTTTGAGAATATGACTGTTTACGAGAAACATCAGACTTTCTCGGATGCCAACAACAACCTCTACCATAGTGAAGGCACAATATAGCGGAAAATTTTAATTGAAATTTGTCCGGATTTTGGTGATGCATCCTGTATATAATTGTGACGAAATTTATGATACAAAAATTTGATATTACAGATGGAAAAATTTTACTCCCAAAGTTATCGTGGCTCGTGACATAGTACGACGACCATCGGCACTTACCGTTGATTCCTGGAGAGATAACATTATTATAGCCTGTCCGGGATCAGGACGGATTGTCATTCTCAACAGGAAATTTAAACTTGTACGGAAGATTCGTCATCAGGAGATGATAGCACCTCAAGGAGTAGCCTTCCTGCAAAAACACGATGAAATATATGTGACAGGTATTGATATTTAACTTTTGAACAATGAGACACAAATCGTCAGAACGTAGCTTAAATTTTTAAAACTTTTAAAATTTGCTTTATTAATTTTCGTTAATTCTTACTATTTTTCGTTTTTGCTATATCTGTATGACTTAAAAATGATTTAATGAAACAAAAATTAATAAGTACATATTATAAATAAATAAGAAATTGGGTTACTACAATAGTCAATGAGCAAATAAAAAGTTTATGATATAAATAGTGAATTATAGTATAAAAGACAAAAGATAACACATCACTTAAAGGAAATAACTGGTTGTTTAATCTTTAAAAATATTATATGTTATCTTTAAAAAATAAGACAAAAATGATAGTTTTATTTTTAAAAGTGAAAAATCACAAGAAACACTAGTAAATAACAAAAGTTTCAATTAATGACCAATGCGTAAATGACCTATAATTTTTGCTCTTAAAAGAAAAAGAGTATGTAGATTTTACTAAATAAATAGATATTTATTTAAGTAAATGCTGTCAGATTAATTATTTATTTCTTATTAAATTTATTTTGTATAAATAACAACACATTTATTATTAAACAATCTTTAACAAAATATATATTTTATAATTTTATTAGACTAGAATAAAAGCATAAACATACATTTGGTATTATATTAATTATATAATTATGCAGAATAAGACCTTTTCCGAATTTCGACATTTTTCGGCAGCAATGCTGATATTAATCTTTGTTGTTATTCAAATAATAAGTCAGAGAGGTTGAAAAATAAAAATAATTTTCTTTAAAAACGTTACATATAGGTGCACGACTTCCACAGAAAACAATTCTCAACCCACCTCCCCCCTGCTTGGTGATGCACGATTTTCCGAAGCGACTCTTATCTTCCCCTCTTGCTTGAAGGCGCACGACTACTTCCACTTCTACGCAAAGTCGGTTGAGGAGGATGGAGTGGGAATCGCTTCGTATGAAAAGTCATGTGCTCCTATGCATCCCTATATGAGGAGATTAAATAATTTAAAAAATAGATTATATATTTTTCAACCTCCCCCGATTTATTATCACTATTTGATAACAAAAATTATATTATCAACATTGCAGCCGAAAAATGTCGAAATTCGGAAAGATCCTATTCTGCATAATTATCATAAATTTGTTATTTTAATAATAATATAACCTTAATAAAAATATTTCTTTTTATTTCTATAAGAATATATATTGGTATACGTAACTTTTCCATTTTAACATTTATTTTTTACAAAAATATATATGTAGAAATTATTTACTTAATTAACTTAAAATTAATAAAACTTTTTTTTACTTAATATTATATATAGAAAACTGCACGAATAATAATAAAAAAAATTCTGTGGTATTACTTAATATAATAAAGTAATAAATTAAGTCTTTACGCTTTTTTAGATTTTTGATAGAAACTTTTATTTCTTTTGTTTTGTTTTTTCCTTCTATTTTTCCTTTCCCTTTTTCTTTTAATTTTCGTTTTACTAATTGCTGCCTTTTTTTTATTCTTTTTCAGCCTATTATTGTTCGGTAATTCTCTGTTTTAAAATTTCTATTTCCATTTTTTAATGTAATAATGAAAGTATTTTCTTGTTTCACTTTTCTTTTATCAATCTTTTCTGTAGGAAAATGTAAATGCTTTTTCCATAGTTCTTCATATTGACATTCGATGTTTATTTCCTTTATGATGAGATTAGGAATCTATTTCGTTTTCTAGTTTCTGTAACATTTACAATAGATCATACATAAAAATTATTATACTCGTATAAAGAAATTAATTTGAAAGTTATAAAAATACCTTTCAAATCATCGAAGATGATTGTGTAGAAGAACTTCACATTCATATCAATAATACTCATATCAATAGTAAATAATGCTTTGGAAGAATCAACATTTTCTTTAATTTCCATTGTATCAAAACAGTCTTTCTAAATAATTGTCTAAAATAAAATGTATAAAGATTATTACATAAATAAAAAGATAATAATATAAAATTAAAAATGAACAAAATCTCTCAAAGCTCAACGAATAAATTCAATAAATTATACATATAGGAGCAAATGAGTCAAGCATGTTGTCGCACATGTTGTGCACAACAGAATATATTGTGCAAACTTATTATTTATATACATAAATTTTCCAAATGTCGATTCTCTACGGAACCCTCTTCAGTGGATAAATGACTTACGATTATATAATGGTTCTTTCTTCGTTAATTATTATCGCGTCATTAGACGCGATAGTAGATTAACATAAAATAAAAATTGCCATGATTACTTCATAACGCATTCCGAATAGCGATTCATAATAAATTCGAATGAACATTCTTGTCCATTTTATGACGATGATATAGGCATAGAAATTAGATTTTGACAGATTTTGAATGATTCTGACTGTGTTCAACAATCTGTCAATATCTAATTGTTCTTTTTTTCGGGCTGGCAATTCTCAAATTTCTATGCCCATACCATAAATGTACAAAAATATTCATTCGTAGTAATCACAATTTTTATTTTATATTAATCTAACAATGCGTTAATTGATGAAAGAAGAAAAGACTGTTATATAGGGTGATTCAAAATTTTTTGTCCTTAAAGGAACATTCTTGGCTATTCTGAGACGACTTTTCCTGACAAAAATTTGTTTGAGCTTGGTTTTTAAGTTATAAAGAGAAATAGTTAGCGTATCACAAGTCGAGTACGAAAGGTAAGCAGGAGCGCTTATCGATGCATGCGAGAGCCTACGTATCCGTTAGACTCAACAATAACGACAGTATACGTCTACAATATACATTTGAATTCTCTCTCTCTCTCTCTCTCTCTTTCTCTCTCTCTCTCTCTCTCTCTCTCTCTCTGTCTCTCTCTCTCTCATTCGTACGCATTCTTTCATTCACTTAGTTATTTACATTAACTGACTAACTTGACTAACCTCCGATATCAGCTATTAAAAATATTGTAAATAAACGCATAGTAATCTGGTAAATTACATTTCACAGAAATTTCAGAATAATGTTCGTCACGACGTCGATGATTGTGAAATCTCCTTTGCAGTGAGACGTCATCTCTTTACGCATATATAAACTGATCCTTCGCGAGATTTTGGACTATTTTCTCCACAAGCAGTCGAGAATTCGGGTGCACGCGGGGAATTCATATTATTCTTGCTAAATTCTATTAAGATACTTATTAGGTATACAACTTTGCTTCCGCCGAAATTCGAGGCTTTATTGTAAAAAACTGGTTATACATTTATGATTCAAAGTATTGTCCATCGCTGGCCACTACTTTCTCCCATCTTTCGGGTAGCGTACGAATTCCGCGTCGAAAAAACTGGTCATCTTTTGAGGCTATCCACGAATCGATCCAATTTTTTACTTCTTCATAAGACCGGAAGTGCTGGTCAGCCAGGCCGTGTGCCATTGATCGAAACAAGTGACAGTCAGAGGGAGCAACGTCTGGAGAATACGGCGGGTGGGGTAGGACTTCCCATTTCAACGTTTCCAAATATGTCTTGACCATTTTCGCAACATAGGGTCGAGCATTGTCATGCTGCAAAATTACTTTATCGTGTCTCTCGTTATATTGCGGCCGTTTGTCTTTCAATGCTCGGCTCAAACGCATCAATTGCGTTCGATACCGATCGCCTGTGATTGTTTCAGTCGGTTTTAACAGTTCATAATACACTACGCTGAGCTGGTCCCATCAAATACAGAGCATGACCTTGGAGCCGTGAATATTCAGTTTGGCCGTCGATGTGGAGCATGGCCGGGAACTCCCCATGATTTTCTGCGCTCGTAATGAACTCATTTTTCGTCCCCAGTCACAATGCGATGCAGAAATCCCTTTCATCTTTGCCTTTCAAGCAGCTGTTCACAAGCAAACAAACGCCGTTCAACATCTCTCGGCTTCAATTCGTACGCCAATTTCCTTGCTTCTGAATCATTCCCATGGCTTTGAGGCGTTTTGAAATGACTTGTTGAGTCACCAATGACTCGTGCCAATTCTTCTTGATTTTAACACGAGTCTTGCTCAAGTAATGCCTCCAATTCTTCGAAAACCTTCTCTCTTCCACCGCTATGCCGGTCTTCGACGTCAAAATCACCGTTCTTGAAGCGTTGAAATCACTCACGACACGTTCTTTCACTAATAGCGACCTCACCATAAGTATTTGAGAGCATTCGATGAGCCTCAGCAGATTTCTTCATATTGAAGCAAAAAATTAAAACTTCCCGCAAATGACGAGAATTTGGCTCGTAAACTGACATTTTCAATCGAGAATAACTTTATGATGCAGACACAAATCGACTAATGTTTCTATGGAGTTATGTTGACAGATGCCCAAGTTTATTGTATGACGTCTATGATCTTTTTATTTCGACCATCACTTACCGCTAAAGCCATCTATAGAATGGCGGAAGCAAAGTTGTACACTTAATAGTAAACTCATATTTTTTTTAAATTTGAATTGCCTTGAATTCATGATGTTCAACTTTGAGACTATCACGAAGTATACGACTTAATATTAGTTGACAAATCGATTTTTTTCTGTTATATATCGGCACCTGCTAAAAACGCGTCCTATTAAATATAATATTTAATGTGTTCTTCAATAAATTTATATACTCTTAAATTCATGACTAAATTTTTTAATTTGTTGAAAACCACGTCGTTTTCAGTCGAAAAAGAAAGCGATGCTCATGGTTTTCATGGATTACAACAGTATTGTACATCACGAATTTTTGCCAGAAGGTCAGACAGATAATAAGGAGTATTATTTGAGCGTTATGAAACGTTTGCATGAAGCAGTTCGCCAAAAAAGAAAGGATTTGTGAGCAAACAAACTCGTAGATTTTGCACCATGATAACGCACCGTCGCACAGTGCCATCATTATCCGTGAATTTTTGACTAAGAACGAAACGAATATCATCCAACAGCCATCGAATTTACCTATGGCTCCCTGCGATTTTTTTCTGTTCGATCG